AAATATATCAATAATACATTAAATATATCAATAATACATTAAATATATCAATCATACATTAAATATATCAATAATACATTAAATATATAAATCATACATTAAATATATCAATCATACATTAAATATATAAATCATACATTAAATATATCAATCATACATTAAATTGAATGAAAAAAGAATCAATAATAGTAGAAATGAATTATGCCAATACATGTGCTTATATATAACTACATATATACATATATTAAGAAAATGTATAAAACTACAATCAAAATATATAGTTATTTCAGTGTTTCATATTTTATTTGTATTTATTACTATTCCCCAGCACTGATATCCATGCTGGCATTTATGTGGAATTCTCTGCTATTTTAATTACAAAGTATTTATAAAGTCCAGGATCTTTCGATCTTTATTCTGAATTCATTCTCTTTGTTTTTATGGTTTTTTCTGCTTTTTATTTAGTAAGAAAATAATAAAAAGTCACTTTATTCCAGTCCTCTATAATAACATGAGGAGTGTGATGTGTCCGGTGTGTCACAGTGAAGTGGGTCAGCATGTGTCCTGCAGGACTTTAAGGTCGCGACCCCCCCGAGGGAGGGGCTCACTGTAGAGCCTCAATCAGAGCGTTCATTGTGAAACTCACAGGAAGTCTTGTCTCTATAAAGCCTCAATCTGCTGCACATTAAGATTAATGTCTCTGTTCCGTAGTGATGTCACTGTTCCGTAGTGATGTCTCTGTTCCGTAGTGATGTCTCTGTTCCGTAGTGATGTCTCTGTTCCGTAGTGATGTCGCTGTTCCGTAGTGATGTCACTGTTCCGTAGTGATGTCTCTGTTCCGTAGTGATGTCTCTGTTCCGTAGTGATGTCTCTGTTCCGTAGTGATGTCTCTGTTCCGTAGTGATGTCTCTGTTCCGTAGTGATGTCACTGTTCCGTAGTGATGTCACTGTTCCGTAGTGATGTCTCTGTTCCGTAGTGATGTCTCTGTTCCGTAGTGATGTCTCTGTTCCGTAGTGATGTCTCTGTTCCGTAGTGATGTCTCTGTTCCGTAGTGATGTCACTGTTCCGTAGTGATGTCTCTGTTCCGTAGTGATGTCACTGTGTTCCGTAGTGATGTCTCTGTTCCGTAGTGATGTCTCTGTTCCGTAGTGATGTCTCTGTTCCGTAGTGATGTCTCTGTTCCGTAGTGATGTCACTGTTCCGTAGTGATGTCTCTGTTCCGTAGTGATGTCGCTGTTCCGTAGTGATGTCTCTGTTCCGTAGTGATGTCTCTGTTCCGTAGTGATGTCGCTGTTCCGTAGTGATGTCACTGTTCCGTAGTGATGTCACTGTTCCGTAGTGATGTCTCTGTTCCGTAGTGATGTCTCTGTTCCGTAGTGATGTCGCTGTTCCGTAGTGATGTCACTGTTCCGTAGTGATGTCTCTGTTCCGTAGTGATGTCACTGTTCCGTAGTGATGTCGCTGTTCCGTAGTGATGTCTCTGTTCCGTAGTGATGTCACTGTTCCGTAGTGATGTCTCTGTTCCGTAGTGATGTCACTGTTCCGTAGTGATGTCTCTGTTCCGTAGTGATGTCACTGTTCCGTAGTGATGTCTCTGTTCCGTAGTGATGTCACTGTTCCGTAGTGATGTCTCTGTTCCGTAGTGATGTCTCTGTTCCGTAGTGATGTCACTGTTCCGTAGTGATGTCTCTGTTCCGTAGTGATGTCTCTGTTCCGTAGTGATGTCTCTGTGTTCCGTAGTGATGTCTCTGTTCCGTAGTGATGTCTCTGTGTTCCGTAGTGATGTCTCTGTGTTCCGTAGTGACGTCTCTGTTCCGTAGTGACGTCACTGTTCCGTAGTGACGTCACTGTGTTCCGTAGTGACGTCGCTGTTCCGTAGTGACGTCTCTGTTCCGTAGTGACGTCGCTGTTCCGTAGTGACGTCGCTGTGTTCCGTAGTGATGTCGCTGTGTTCCGTAGTGATGTCTCTGTTCCGTAGTGATGTCGCTGTGTTCCGTAGTGATGTCACTGTTCCGTAGTGATGTCGCTGTGTTCCGTAGTGATGTCGCTGATGTCGCTGTGTTCCGTAGCGATGTCACTGTGTTCCGTAGAGATGTCACTGTGTTCCGTAGCGATGTCACTGTGTTCCGTAGAGATGTCACTGTGTTCCGTAGCGATGTCACTGTGTTCCGTAGCGATGTCTCTGTGTTCCGTAGAGATGTCACTGTGTTCCGTAGAGATGTCACTGTGTTCCGTAGTGATGTCACTGTGTTCCGTAGTGATGTCACTGTGTTCCGTAGTGATGTCACTGTGTTCCGTAGCGATGTCACTGTGTTCCGTAGCGATGTCACTGTGTTCCGTAGCGATGTCACTGTGTTCCGTAGCGATGTCACTGTGTTCCGTAGCGATGTCACTGTGTTCCGTAGCGATGTCACTGTGTTCCTTAGCGATGTCACTGTGTTCCGTAGAGATGTCACTGTGTTCCGTAGTGATGTCACTGTGTTCCTTAGCGATGTCACTGTGTTCCGTAGCGATGTCACTGTGTTCCGTAGTGATGTCACTGTGTTCCGTAGTGATGTCACTGCAGTGTTTCCCCTACCATTGTCTTGTCATACATTTAACATTTTAAATTCCTAAAGTGGTTTGGCTCTGTAAAACTGTTTGATTTTTTTAAACAATTTTAATCTCATAATATATTTAATTTTTGCTCCTTAATTTACTATTTCAATCTCAGATCTTCTGCTCCTAGTTGTTCTCCTCTGATCACCCCCCACCCCCCCCACCCCCCCCCCCCCCCCCCCCCCCCCCGCTGCTGCTGATCAGTCGATATGAAGCGGGTCGTTATGGATTAACCGCCAGAGGAGATCTCCGTTAATCAACCCAACACCGTTAGCCTAGCTTAGCACAATCGCTGGCAGTGGAGGGGAACTGTTAGCATGGATATACCAGTTACACTGTTAGTGGTGTGTGCATGTGGGTTAAAGGAAATAAAGCAATGTTCTCTGTGTATGTAGGCTAAAGGGAAATAGATGAGGCTGCATATGACCTCATTCAAACTGAGCTCTCTGTTTCAGCCAATCAGGAGAGCCCCTCGGAGATTCAATGCAGTATTTTAAAGTCATTATAATGTTGTATTTAATGCCAGTTGTATTGTCTCGTTGATTATGCATTATGTAGCTGCTGTCTAAATCCACAATATAAATATATATATAATAATATATTTCTGCAGCCTGGGCTCTTTTCTCCCTCAGCGTCGCCTCTCAGGCTCTTTACTGCCTGCTGTCGTCATGGAGACACAAAGGGAGTCCTGGGAAAAGTAATCAGACTGTACTGTACACACACACACACACACACACACACACACACACACACACACACACACACACACACACACACACACACACACACACACACACACACACATGAATCAGCTCTCTGTGTGTGTGTACAGGGTTATTAGAGTCAGGGTGAGACTTCCTGAGAGAACCTGATGTCCTTATAAACTAAACTAAAGGGGGCGGGACATCTTCTAAGCAGGTTGACCAATCACAACAAAGCTGGCCAGCTAACCAATCAGAGAAGAGCCTGGGAAGCTGTTCTCTTGTTGTGTTGCAGATATCTGTTAGATTTACAGGTGACATCTGAATACACAACATGTTATCAGCTCTAACACACACTGATCACACTAAGAGCTCACACACACACACACACACACACACACACACACACAGGTCACAGTGAGTCGTTGTAATAGATCATAATGTTTAACTGGACATTCAAATGCGTGTGTGTGTATCTAGCCGATAAGACGTCATGTGACGCAGAGCAAACACTGCAGAGGATACACACACGTCACACACACTCACACTCACATGCACACACACACACACACACACACACACACACACACACACACACACACACACACACACACACACACACACACACACACACACAGTTGTATCCGCTGCTTCAAGGATTAAACATGAAGTCCTTTTTCTTTGTGCTTTAATATAAAGTGTGTTTTCAAACATTAAAGAGAAAACATTAATAAAGTTAATGTTTTCTGTATTTTCTGAAAGTCAGACGTTAACGAGTAACTGCAGATCAAACAGGAAGTGAGATCACCCTCTGATTCATTTATAATCTGTTTGCCCTGCGTCTCACAGCTCTGACTTTCACTCTGACCCTCAGTGGAAACAGCACACACTGAAACACATTAGAGATCTATCTATACGATCTAAAGAACACAGTGACATCACTACGGAACACAGTGACATCACTACGGAACACAGAGACATCGCTACGGAACACAGTGACATCACTACGGAACACAGTGACATCACTACGGAACACAGAGACATCACTAAGGAACACAGTGACATCACTACGGAACACAGTGACATCGCTAAGGAACACAGAGACATCACTAAGGAACACAGTGACATCACTACGGAACACAGTGACATCACTAAGGAACACAGTGACATCGCTACGGAACACAGTGACATCACTACGGAACACAGAGACATCACTAAGGAACACAGTGACATCACTACGGAACACAGAGACATCACTACGGAACACAGTGACATCACTACGGAACACAGAGACATCACTAAGGAACACAGTGACATCACTACGGAACACAGTGACATCGCTAAGGAACACAGAGACATCGCTACGGAACACAGTGACATCGCTACGGAACACAGTGACATCACTACGGAACACAGTGACATCACTACGGAACACAGAGACATCACTACGGAACACAGTGACATCGCTACGGAACACAGAGACATCGCTAAGGAACACAGTGACATCGCTACGGAACACAGTGACATCACTACGGAACACAGTGACATCACTACGGAACACAGAGACATCACTACGGAACACAGTGACATCACTACGGAACACAGAGACATCACTACGGAACACAGTGACATCACTACGGAACACAGAGACATCACTACGGAACACAGTGACATCACTAAGGAACACAGTGACATCACTACGGAACACAGAGACATCACTAAGGAACACAGTGACATCACTACGGAACAGAGAGACATCACTACGGAACACAGTGACATCGATACGGAAAACTCGCGCTCCTATTGCCTAGCAGCTCCAACACATTGTACGTGATAGGCTAAAGGGGGCGGGACATCTCTAAGCTGGGAAGACCAATCACTACACAGGCCGGCCAGCTAACCAATCAGAGCGGCTCTGGTTTTTACATTACATTGCATTTAGCTGACGCTTTTATCCAGAGCGACTTACAATAAGTGCGTTCGACCAACAAAATACAACCTTGAAGAAAACAGAATCATAAAGTACATCAGGTTTCATCGAGCCAAACATTTCAAGTGCTACTCAACTGGCTTTAGATAAGCCAGCCCTTTATTAGTATATAAGTGCTTTGTTAATAGTTCTATCGCTCGAAGTGGAGTCGAAAGAGATGAGTTTTCAGTCTGGAAGGTGTGTAAGCTTTCTGCTGTCCTGATGTCAATGGGGAGCTCATTCCACCATCTTGGAGCCAGGATAGCAAACCCACGTGTTTCTGCTGATGGGAACTTGGGTCCCCCTCGCAGCGAGGGTGCAGCGAGTCGTTTGGCTGATGCAGAGCGTAGTGCACGCGCTGGGGTGTACGGTTTAACCATGTCCTGGATGTAGGAAGGGCCAGATCCATTCGCAGCACGGTAAGCAAGTACCAGTGTCTTGAAGTGGATTCTAGCAGTTACCGGAAGCCAGTGAAGGGAGCGGAGGAGCGGAGTGGTGTGGGAACATTTAGGAAGGTTGAAGACGAGCCGCTGCATTCTGGATGAGCTGCAGAGGTCGGATGGCACATGCAGGTAGACCAGCCAGGAGGGAGTTGCAGTAGTCTAGGCGTGAGATGACGAGAGCCTGGACCAGAACCTGCGTGGCTTTCTGAGTCAGCTGGGGACGTATCTTCCTGATGTTGTAAAGCGTGTATCTGCAGCAACGGGTTGTAGCAGCGATGTTTGCAGTGAAGGACAGGTTGTTATCTAGGGTCACACCCAGATTCCTTGCAGTCTGAGTCGGGGAAACAACTGAGGTGCCGATGTTGTTTGTCAGGTCAAGAGTGGGACAATCTTTTCCCGGGAGGAAGAGCAGCTCAGTCTTGTCAAGGTTGAGCTTGAGGTGGTGAGCAGACATCCACTGAGAGATGTCAGCTAGACAAGCAGAGATGCGTGCGACGACCTGGGTCTCTGAGCGGGGGAAGGACAGAATTAATTGGGTGTCGTCAGCGTAGCAGTGGTAAGAAAAACCATGCGGGCTAATGACTGATCCGAGCGAGTTTGTGTACAAGGAGAAGAGGAGGGGACCAAGAACAGAGCCCTGAGGGACCCCTGTAGTTAATTGACAAGGGTCGGACTCAGACCCTCTCCAAGTCACCCTGTAGGTACGGTCTTTCAGGTATGAGGTGAGGAGGGAAAGTGCAGAGCCTGAAACTCCAAGTTCTTGGAGAGTGCGAAGGAGGATCTGATGATTCACCGTGTCGAATGCAGCAGACAGGTCCAACAGGATGATGACAGAGGAGAGGGATGCAGTTTTGGCAGTGTGCAGTTCCTCCGTGACAGCAAGGAGGGTAGTTTCTGTGGAGTGACCTGCCTTGAAACCAGACTGGTGCGGATCCAGAAGGTTGTTCTGATTGAGATAACAGGAGAGTTGTTTAAAGACAGCGCGTTCAAGTGATTTAGACAGGAACGGGAGGAGAGAGACAGGCCTGTAGTTTATAACATCAGACGGGTTGAGAGTGGGTTTCTTTAGGAGAGGGTTTACTCTTGCCTCCTTGAGACTGTTTGGAAAGTGACCAGAAGTTAGAGAAGTGTTGATGAAATGGGTGAGAAACGGTAGAATATCAGGAGCGATAGTCTGAAGGAGGTTTGAAGGGATAGGGTCCAGAGGACAGGTGGTAGGGCGGGCAGAGGTAATGAGGGTAAGAACCTCACTTGGAGAGAGAGGGGAAAAGGAGGTAAGTGTGTTGGTGGAAGGAGGGTCTGGTGACCCAGCGGTGAGTAGAGGTGAGTCAGAAAAAGAAGAGCGAATATCATCAACCTTTTTTTCAAAGTGGGTAACAAAGTCGCTTGACAGAAGTGAGGAGGGGGGAGGGGCTTTGGGAGGGTCCAGGAGGGAGGAGAAGATGGAAAATAGTTTTTTAGGATTGGAATAGGAAGATTGGATCTTATCTTGAAAGAAAGTGCATTTTTTGCCTGAGAGATCGAAGCAGAGAAAGAGGAGAGGAGAGCCTGATAGGTTAGGAGGTCGTCACGGTGTTTGGATTTCCACCGTTTCCGCTCTGCTGCCCTAAGGACGGTTCTATTAGCACGCAGTGCATCATTTAGCCAGGGAGCAGGAGGGGACTGACGAGCCTGCCGAGATGTGAGAGGACAGAGAGAGTCCAGAGAGGATGAGAGAGTAGAGAGGAGAGTTTCTGCAGCAGAGTTTGGAGGCAGGAGATGGAACGAATCAGATGAAGGGAGGGCTGAGAGCACCGATGAGGCAAAGGTAGAGGGGGAGAGGGGGAGAGGGGGAGAGAGTCCAGAGAGGATGAGAGAGTAGAGAGGAGAGTTTCTGCAGCAGAGTTTGGAGGCAGTAGTTGGAACGAGTCAGAGGAAGGGAGGGCTGAGAGCACCGATGAGGCAAAGGTAGAGGGGGAGAGGGAGCGAAGGTTACGGCGGACAGGTGCAGGATGAGAAGAGATTAGTTTGTTATGTTTGGAAAGGGGTAGAGAGAATGAAATGAAGAAGTGATCGGATGTGTGGAGCGGGTTTACAGAGAGGTTAGAAGTAGCGCAGTTCCTTGAGAATATGAGATCAAGGACATTGCCAGCTTTATGAGTCGGTGGGGACGGAGACAGTGAGAAAGCAAAGGCGGTTAACAGAGATGTTAGTTTGTCTATCTTCCCCGTCTGGAGGTTGAAGTCTCCGAGAAGTACAGCGGGAGGGCCAGTTTCAGGGATGTGTGAGAGGAGATTATCTAATTCCTCCAAGAAGTCCCCCAAGGCGCCTGGTGGACGGTAGAGAACAACAATGGTTAACTGTATAGGATGGGTTACTGTGACGGCATGGAACTCAAAGGTGGAAGGAGTGAAGTTAGGTAGCTTGAAGAGGGAAAAGCTCCATTTGGGAGAGAGCAGGAGACCAGTGCCACCTCCTCTGCCAGTTGGTCTGGGTGTATGGGAGAAGGAATATGCTGTGGAGAGAGCTGCTGGGGTGGATGTGTTGGATGGAGTAATCCATGTCTCAGTGAGAGCAAGGAAATCCAGAGACTGCAGGGAGGCGTAGCCAGAGATGAAGTCAGCCTTAGGAACAGCTGACTGGCAGTTCCACAGGCCGCCTGAAACTAGATGCTGGATCTCAGTGGAGCACGTGAGATAGACGAGAGCAGGCCGGTTATATCGATTAGGAGATACACGGGGCCAGTGATAATTGAGAGGGTACACATGAACAGGAATGGAGAAAATACACATGATTATAGCCTGAGGGGCTAAACAACCAAATAAAACACCAGCGATACTTAGCTCAATCAGTAGTTTCGGACAGAGGGTGATTTTATTAATAATGATGATTCTCTTCTTCTATGTTTTGTGTTCCAGCTGCAGGATGAACGGATACGAAACTCCGCCTCTCGCCTCGGGGATCTTCGGGTCCTACGGCTCACCCACCAAGTCAGTGTCTGTTAGCATGGTAGCTTAGCATGTTAGCTTAGCATGTTAGCATGTCTGTTTTCGATCAAATCTATTTAATTTGGGATTTATTTTTTGTAAAGTATATTTTTAAAAAGCGCCTTTTGAGAGTTTAGGTGTTTCATTTATTTATTATCGATGTGGAAAGTCACGTGCATGTTAGCTTAGCATATTAGCATGTCAGTATTGCATTACATTTCATTTGTGATTTTATTTACTATTCTTTAAAACATTTAAATGTACATTTTTTTAAAAGCTCTTTTTGAAGAGTTTGGTTTTTAATGTATTTATTATCTACGGCTAAAGTCACGTTAAGCTTTGGTGAATGCATGCAGAACAGCAGACAGGTTGACCTATATTATATTTAAGGTGTTTTTCCAGACAATTTAAGTAATAATTAAAGGTGTTTTTAAGTGTTTTTGCTCCACGTTTGTATCAGTTTCAGCTGATAAACAGTCTGTGAGCACGACAGGGTAAATATTGCTGCGTCTAAAGAACCTTAAATGAATATGTAATGATCAGCGTAACTCTATACCTGCAGCTTCATGTGAGGAACGCTCAGATAAAGCATTACATTAGAGAGTTTTAGGGTCACATGACGACTGGTCACATGACGACTGGTCACATGACGACTGGTCCAGGGAGTGTTAATACATGTATGCAGTTAATATGTATTTAACATGTGATCACGGTGTGTTCAGAGTCAGAGCTGACGCAGGGAAACTGGAGCTCGCCTCTAATTGATCCTCTTATTTAATCTGAGCGGCTAATTTCACAATCTGCTCACACACTCACTCAGCACTGCGCTCTTATTCTGAAAACAACGTATTTTCAGAATAAAACACGTTTGAATTAAAAAATGTAATCCGAACAAAAAAGACACAACTCTTATTCTGAAAAACAACGTATTTTCAGAATAAAACACGTGTGAAAAGCTGATATTTTTCAGGTTATTATTATTAGGCAGCTCTTTCAATGCAGGCTTGGATTAGGTAAGAAAATGAACGCACTCTTATTTTGAAATAATGTGTTGAAAGCATAATCGGCTCTCCTGATTGGCTGAAATAACTCCTATTTTCTGTCAAAATTGAGCAAAATATTATCACTAATTTGTGTGGAAAGATATTGCATTTGAATTAACAACCTCTTTCTACCTTTTTTAAATGAACACAGCATTACGGCACCTTGCCCTTCACAATAAAAGCCCAATAAATACACAGTAAATATTTGAAAACACTAGAAATATATATATTCACATATGTGTTGGTCAGCGTGTTTTCTCTGACCCGGAGAGTCAGTGTCGGATAAAAGGTGCTTTCTTTAAATGACTGTCAAATCAAATCAAGTTTTATTTATAGCACATTTTTAAAACGATTTGTGGTCGAGCCAAAGTGCTGCACATGCAGTACAAATACAAGTGTCAGTGTTTTCAGGTGAGCAGGTCTCTCTCTCCTCGTTAATCAATTATAGATGATGTCATCAGTCAGAATAAATAACAGTGTGAACGTGAGAAAATATCCAGTTTCTCTGCAGCGAGTCGCGATGACGTCCAGCTGTCAGACATTCGTCCTCTCGTGTTCACACCGAGAAACAAACACCAGATATCACGGCCAGGAACTGAGAAAGCAGCAGAGTTTGAGTTCAGAGAAACTCACAGCGAACTGTTACTGAATATTGAAATAAATAATAATGTATATTTAAAATAATTGTATTTCTCTCTCTCTCAGTGGCCATGGCTCGCTGTCTCCGGAGCCTCTTCATCAAAAAGCCAAGTCCGGTGCCAAAGCTCTCTACGGTGAGTCTAGGGTTCATCCTGTATCTCAGCTATTATAAAATACACATACAATAAGCTGTCATATTGTAGGTTAAAGTCAGTGTTTCCCCTCGTTAACCCTCCCCTCGTTAACCCTCCCCTGGTTAACCCTCCCCTCGTTAACCCTCCCCTCGTTAACCCTCCCCTCGTTAACCCTCCCCTCGTTAAACCCTCCTCATTAACCCTCCCCTGGTTAACCCTCCCCTCGTTAACCCTCCCCTCGTTAACCCTCCCCTCGTTAACCCTCCCCTCATTAACCCTCCCCTGGTTAACCCTCCCCTCGTTAACCCTCCCCTCGTTAACCCTCCCCTCGTTAACCCTCCCCTGGTTAACCCTCCCCTCGTTAACCCTCCCCTCATTAACCCTCCCCTCGTTAACTCTCCTCATTAACCCTCCCCTGGTTAACCCTCCCCTCATTAACCCTCCCCTGGTTAACCCCCCCCTCGTTAACCCTCCCCTCATTAACCCTCCCCTGGTTAACCCTCCCCTCATTAACCCTCCCCTCGTTAACCCTCCCCTCATTAACCCTCCCCTCGTTAACACTCCCCTCATTAACCCTCCCCTCATTAACACTCCCCTCATTAACCCTCCCCTCGTTAACCCTCCCCTCATTAACCCTCCCCTCGTTAACACTCCCCTCATTAACCCTCCCCTCGTTAACACTCCCCTCATTAACCCTCCCCTCGTTAACTCTCCTCATTAACCCTCCCCTGGTTAACCCTCCCCTCATTAACCCTCCCCTGGTTAACCCTCCCCTCGTTAACCCTCCCCTCATTAACCCTCCCCTCGTTAACCCTCCCCTCATTAACCCTCCCCTGGTTAACCCTCCCCTCGTTAACTCTCCTCATTAACCCTCCCCTGGTTAACCCTCCCCTCGTTAACTCTCCTCATTAACCCTCCCCTGGTTAACCCTCCCCTCGTTAACCCTCCCCTCATTAACCCTCCCCTGGTTAACCCTCGCCTCGTTAACTCCCCTCATTAACCCTCCCCTGGTTAACCCTCCCCTTGTTAACCCCCCTTGTTAACCCTCCCCTGGTTAACCCTCCCCTCGTTAACTCTCCTCATTAACCCTCCCCTGGTTAACTCTCCGCTGGTTAACTCTCCCCTGGTTAACCCTCCCCTGGTTAACTCTCCTCGTTAACCCTCTCCTCGTTAACCCTCCCCTCGTTAACCCTCTCCTCATTAACCCTCCTCTCGTTAACCCTCTCCTCATTAACCCTCCTCTCGTTAACCCTCTCCTCATTAACCCTCCCCTCGTTAACTCTCCTCGTTAACCCTCCCCTCGTTAACTCTCTTCATTAACCCTCCCCTGGTTAACCCTCTCCTCGTTAACCCTCCCCTGGTTAACCCTCTCCTCATTAACCCTCTCCTCGTTAACCCTCCCCTCGTTAACTCTCCTCATTAACCCTCTCCTCGTTAACCCTCCCCTCGTTAACCCTCCCCTCGTTAACCCTCTCCTCATTAACCCTCCCCTGGTTAACCCTCCCCTCGTTAACCCTCTCCTCGTTAACCCTCTCCTCGTTAACCCTCTCCTCGTTAACCCTCTCCTCATTAACCCTCCCCTCGTTAACTCTCCTCGTTAACCCTCTCCTCGTTAACCCTCTCCTCATTAACCCTCCCCTCGTTAACTCTCCTCGTTAACCCTCCCCTCGTTAACCCTCTCCTCGTTAACCCTCTCCTCGTTAACCCTCTCCTCATTAACCCTCCTCTCGTTAACAGGACTAGATGAAATGTACTTCCTGCGCTCGTCGGCCAAACACAAAAAGCCTCTCAGTGAGATCAGAGTGAAATCTGTGTGATTTTAATGTTTTAATGTTTTAATAACGTGGCTCCTCCTACTTTTAATAATGAGAACATGTTGATCATTACTCTGTAGCGGAAACTAAAAACTGATTTCAATCAAAAGTTTTAACGACAGAGCCATGTTGTTAAAACCCTGATTTTTATTCTATTATTATTCTATTAAGTTAGACCTAATTATTCACATATATATATATATATATATATACACACATATATACATATACATATATATATATTCACATATATACATATATATATGTATATATGTGAATATATACATATATATATATTCACATATATACATATATATATGTATATATGTGAATATATATATATATATATTAGGGCCGGGACTCGATTAAAAAAATGAATCTAATTAATTAGAGGCTTTGTAATTAATTAATCGAAATTAATCGCATTTTTAATCACATATAAATATTTGACCTAAGAACAGTGAGAAGCAATTTTTTTCACATGGATTTTAGTATACCATTAGGCGCATTCACACCGCAGTACTTTTCCCACAAAGGTTCATGAGAATTTAGTTCATGAGGACTCTTTGAACCTGGGGGTGGATTAGGCAAATGAAGCCGCTGACGTCACTTCTTCTGCTTTGGTTTTACTGGCAGGCCGCAAACCACTTCACGGCGTATACTGCCGCCCAAAGTCCCCGACCGGAAGTCCCCGGAGTTGGGGACTGGCTTCAGTAGAAGCTGCTGGGAGTCCCACCCATAGATATATATAAACACTACATGACTCACCCGCGCTGCTGGCCAATGGAGACCGACGTTGCCACTTGGCCGCCATCTTGCTACAGGCAGTTCTCTCATTCATAACATTATGGTTTACTATTTAAATAACCATAGCTTGCTCAATTTTCAACCAATTTTCAAACGGTTTGGTTTTTTATAAACATCAAAGATGTAGTTATGATACTGTATACTTATAGTCATGGACTTTCATATGAAAATAACATTAATCAGATAAAGCAATAGCTATACACACGGTATTTATATTAAATATTTGCCGGTGTATATAATACCATTTATTTTATTATATTGTTAATATTTAAAATAAATTATAAAATTAAAATACATTTTATATATAAAAGTGGGTCTCATGTTACCACTCTGTAAGCCAAGAGTTGTTAATGTAGCAATGCCTTAGCTTGAAGAACAGACACAACTAATGACAATAGCATATGTTGGTATATTATTTAGATATTCACACTTTTATCAGAAGAACCAAACCAACATAACATCTGCTCACAGACAGGCCAGTGCTGTCTCATTTATCACAATTATTTTTGACATGAGATCTTCATATCATCCTAGTTTTGTATTTAGTTTCTAGATTTGTAAACAAATCCAGAACCTTTTAAATATGTTATTGAAAAAAGACCAATAATAATATAAACTGTCCTTTTGTGTCCTTCTGTAGTCCATTTGTGGTTTGCTGATATATCACAAAATCCACTGTTTAAATTGTTCCCTATATTGCCCCTATGCCCCTGTAAGGTGTCCTTGGGTGTTATGAAAGGCGGCCCCCCAAAATAAATGTATTACTATTATTAAGAAGAACAACTTGGTGTGGTGTGGAGGGGATGTAGGAAGCAGGAGCAGGTGGGGAGAGATGGGGCTTCAAGGTTCAAGGTTATTTGTTTTAAATGTGTCTTGGAGATAAGGACCAGCTGCACACAATAAAATACAGTATAACACAAAACCAATAAGACACACGGTGACACATGGCACACCAACAATCAATCATTGTCCAGCCTCAGCTTTGCTATTCTTTCACAACCATGTTATGGGTTTATTAGACTGAGCAAACATAAACATGTGGGGAACATAGTGCTGCGTCTCATGGAACCTGAAGATGTCCCTTCTGAGGGCGAGTTCCCACTGCCTCCTCCTCTCTCCGGTTTTTGGAAACCTTAAAAACGTGAGAAAGGTAGCCAGATATATAAATTATTGTCAACATGTTCCTCCCTTCTTTCCTTTAACATTAAGGGTAAGGACAAAAATACACACCGAAATTATCATATATTTGGTATGTATGTATGTATGTATGTATGTATGTATGTATGTATAGCCTACTTTAAGAATAAGACAACCACACTAAGAGTAATAAAAAAGGTGTCCAAAAGAAACATTACATAATTGTGTAAAGAAATGGTAGCAACATATTCTAAAGAGGCTGGGTCAACATCAATCTTGCAATACTATTATCTCACATAGCCCCACTGATCCTGTGTAGCAGGACTTGTAATGTACATACATCCACTAAGTAACTAACTATTATCCTAATTTTAGTCATAATATTGTCATATTTTACACATGAAAGGTGATCCCACGGGTTCTTGTTTGCAGACTGCGGTGATTAGAGCATCCGTAGGCTGCACAAAAGTCAGGCTTAGTCAGGTACTTCTGTAAACACAAAGCCAGCAAATTCCTGTATCATAATGCAAGATGTTTTTAACAAGCCAAACCACTTGGAAGAAATCATGTGTAACTTAAGTTATGTTGAAAAGAAAGAGCAGCTCTGCCTCTCCCACTGGTGTAAAGTTGCTGGGTCAACTTTGTAATACTAGGTCTCACTCACAGCCTCTTGTTATTAGCCAGCTAATAAATACAACCACATACACAAAGAAAAGCTGCAATTTCAACATGTCCAAGCATCCTGTAT